GGTTTTAGCTGGGCTCTCTTTGACCGTCTCTGTTTGGCTCTTGGGCTAGTGTCAGAATCCTGCTGACGTCGCCAATTGTAGAGCTACTAATCCTGTTCATGACGCCAATTGTAAAGCTACACAACCACACCAGTTGTCAGGCTCTTTTACCTGCTGGTAATCCTGCCCTGACTGGGCCAATTATCAAGCTAGGGCTGGGTCTGGAGCTCACAGACCCCTCAAGCCCATTCCAGACTGGGTCACAAACCCTTCATAAGCCAGGCTGGGTCACCAGACCCCTTTACATGCAGGTCTATGAGCTAGGTAACCGGCAAACAGGTCCTTGGAAGCCGCAGGCTGGAAAGGCATGGCTGCTCGGGCTGCTGCCCAAGGCAGTAAACTCCAGCCAAAGTGGCGGCCCGTGCAGGCGCACTAACTCTGCCCACACGCAACCTATTCACAACAAATGCTTGGCAAGATTCTGAACATCTGAGGGGCCCTGACCATTTTCCTATATTTTCCCAACAGTCTCTTTCCCTGATCTCCTCTTTAAGCTTCATCTGCCTCTATTTGTATCAGACCCAGCTATTAGCCTTCAATAATTGCTAGCCCAATTGCTCTATTGTTTTTAACAATGCTCTGGGCCACAAATTGCTCACTATAGTCTGATCCAATTAAAGTTGGACCCCTTTTCAGGGACAGGGCGTTGACTGTCTTTGAGGCTTACTCTGACCCCAAGAAGTCTCTTCTCATCTGTCTCTTTCACTGATTCTGTTAAACTTTTAGCTGGTCTACTGTTGCTACTAGTATCACAGAACTACCACCCTCCACCTAAATGTTGACTCCCAATATCTCCATTGTTTTCAACAACACCCTTGGGCATGAACTTCCCCTCTGCTCTGTGCCAAATAAGGCCAGTCCCATTAGGCAGAGTGGTAGAGCTCTCTGTTTTTGATCCTCCTTTCCCCCTGGGCCAAACCTCTGTGTCATTGCACTGGAGCTTGGAGCTGGGACTGCAACCCACTTCTGGAGTGACAGTCCTGTTCTGCAAGTGGGGTAGTAGGCAGGGATAATCTCTCCTAGTATTCTTGACATGACATCTCCTCCCTGTGAGTGAGCAAGGGTGGGGCAGTTGGAGTTCAGTATTTGCAGCCTTCTGTGCTTGGGGTGGAGCTTCCACCCAATGAGTGGGGGAAGTGAGCCCCACTTCTCTCTGCTGTGCTTGCCTGGAATTTAGCTTCTGTAACACAGAGCTGAGGGGATGAGGAATGCCCAAGTAGGAAAGGATGCCTCATTAATTTTTTTTTTTTTTCTGGCAGCTGGCCAGTATGGAGATCCGAACCCTTAACCTGTTATAACACCCCACTCTAACTAACTGAGCTAACTGGCCAGCCCTGTCCTTAAATTTTGACATTGAAATTTCAAAGACCGAAGGTTAGAACAAGCTCTTCTAGGATTATAGTGAATAAAAAGGATAATGCTGAAGAGACTGTAGCTGCACAAAAGAAAAGTATGACCTCTAGAAGCCTAGATGTGTTAGAGTCTCAAGAAGTGGGAGGGAGGAAACTGGGGGTCATTATTCTGCAATGGAACCAGCCCCAACAATATAGACGTGGAATCTCGCAGACTCCACGCACAGGACTGTAACCGATATAGGGTAAAATTGACCAGAATCTCATTTCTGATATTTTAATAATTTTAGTTGTACCCCTAATTTTCTTTCCTCAGCTTCTGGTACATAGTGGACATGCACATATAAGTTAGCTAGAGTTGAAATTTTCAGATAAAAACAGAGTTCACAATTATTTTTAAATATCTATGAGCTATGTTATAATAAAGAACATATGCTCCTTATTTTGTCTTGTACTAATTCTTGGCAGAGTGCTATAGTTTAAGTTTTACCTTATGTTCACTGAGATGTGGGGGATATATTTACTCAAAGTGAAGTCATTGTATAGAGGTGGATGTGATACTCTTCCTTCAGGACAGACTTACAAGAAGAGGGAGGCCAGAGAAGTTTCCAAAATAATTTTTAATTATTTATAGCCTGAGCAGCTCCCTTCTCTTCATTCATTCATTCAACAGATATTTCTTGAGCACCAAATATGTGTCAAACACTTCTGTAGGCTTTTGGGAAATGTCAATGACCAAACAAAGATCCTTTACCTCACAGAGCTTACATTCTAGGTGGGGAGTTAGATAATAAACAGTACAGTAATAAGTAAGTAAATGATATAATATTTAAGTGATAAGTTGTATGGAAAAAATAAAAACTAGAGCAGGGTTAGGGGGAACAGACCTGGACTTGGGGACAGAATTGCAGTTTTAAGCAAGGTAGTCAACCTCATTGAGAAGGCTCCCAAGAGGGAAATGACTCATTTGAGGTCCCTTTGCTAATCAGTGCGTAACAGAGCAGGATTTGATCCCAAGGCTGACTCAAATGCCCATGCTCTTTTTGTGAAGGGATAGATGACTTGAGAGTGATAGGTAGACAAGAAGCAGGAGAGAGGTATCAAAAGAAACCTAGGTAACTGGGCTATAAGGTTTGGGCTGCGCATAGTGTTTAAAAGCTTGGAAGAACATATAACTAAGAGAAAATACAAAAGAATAGTGAATCCACAATATTAGTGTCTTAGAAGAGAAGCATGTTATGCACCTTTCAGAGCTATTAACCCTTTCCCCAAAGCATACTTGTGGAGACTGGATTTCTTAGAGGTGCAGACAAGCACAAGGTACTTCTTGAAAGATTTATTTTAGATTGAGGAGATTTAAAGACTGAGACACAAATAGATTTTTGTTGACCAGGTCCTATAAAAGCTATAGTTCAGTAAAACTTTCCTATTTTTTGGTTTGAAAGTTTTCAGGAAAGAATGTTATAAATAATTAATCTTTCTACAATTACCACCCAAAGGTTCCTGCATTTCAGAGGGTAGGGTGGTGTTGAGAGGAAAGATACAGTTTCTATGTAGAAATTTGTTTTACCAACAAAGGACCCTTCATAGAATATTTTTGTTTGTGAGCTCCAGAGTGAAATCTGTTATGACCACAATCTGGGTAAACCTAGTCAAGTGAATGATTTCTAGACAGAAAAAATAAATGCAGAACTTGTGGAATGGATTCTGAAGGAGAAGCTAACTTTAATAAAACTGTTACCCCTTATGAATTTGAATAAAAGAAAAATGAGTGTTAGATATATCTTCCTCATTTCATTGATGATGACTAAGGTCGAAATAGGTTAAGTGATTTGCTCAAGGTGACATAGATAATTACTTGAAGAGCTAACTTCTTGGCCAGTGCTTAGCCTAGTTCAACAGAGTACCATCATATGTATATTTAATTTATTCAATTTCAATTATTGCATATGTCAAAATGGGGGAAAATACTGTAAATTTTAATTTTCATATATATTCTTTATCATATTCTATCCATTATAAAATGTTCACATATCCATATTATTGTATAGGGTTGTATACATAAAATCATGTGTACTTTAAGGGTAATTTAAGAGGTTTTCTGGGGGTAATTTTGGCTATCAATGATTTCTAGGAATTGAAAACTAATCCCTTCCTGATAAAATACAACTCCTTGTGTTTCATATTTCTACCTTCATTATACCACGGGTCAAATCATGTCCCCCAAATATGGTGTAAGAGACAGATATGACTCAGTTTAAAATACAAGTGTTATTTTTGTCATAAACACCAGCAAAGTAAAGGGGTTCCATTGTATTTATTTGTAGGATAGGGTTGTGCCAATGTTGGAATTCAGTGGGGAGAAGGAAGGCTCCAGGGCTTACTCTTCTTTAGGTGGTTTTAATTCTCACTTCAATCAATCATCAAAAACTCTGCAATTATCTGGTATGTGCCTCGTGCATAGTTCTCTAGTTCTGACCAGGTGCTTATCATTCCAGGGTAGTTCTCCTGCCAGTTCTGTGTTTTTCTCAACCTCACTGTCTTTTCCCTCACTTATTTCTAGCACCCTTTCAATACCAAACCTGTGAACAGTGTACAATCAGGTTTCATGGAGTCATTTCTGGTCCTCTTCTTAAGACCTGATTTAGGCCCACTAGAATAACTGCACAACTTCAAATGTACGCTTTTTCATCCCCTCAAAAGAAACATGTGGAAAATATAGACTCTTAGAATCATAGTCTGTTAGAACTTTGAGATACTTCACAGGTCAACTGGCCCAAATGCCTGATTTTAAAGATTTTGAGGGCCGGCCCAGTGGCGCACTGCTACAGTGCGCCGCTTGGGAGCGTGGTGGCGCTCTTGCCCAGGGTTCGGATCCCACATACAGACCGGTTCCTGCTCACTGGCTGAGCGAGGTGTGGGAGCAATACCGAGGGTTGCGATCCCGTTGCCGGTCCCGGTCCAGTACGGGCGCGACACTGAGGGTTGCGATCCGTTGCCGGACACGAAAAAAGACAAAAAAAGGAAAAATAAATAAATAAATAAAGATTTTGAAAGTGAGACCCAGAATTTTTTCAAGATTGTACAGCTTTAGTGACAAAGTTTTTCTCATATGAGAGCCACAAAGAGGGAGCCTCTGATTTTCTACGAAAAATATTCTTAGAAACTTGGATCTTCAGCCCTGGGCACACGTGTAAACTGCATTTACCTCTTCCCCCCAAAAGATGGGTTATTCTAATAAAACACTTGTGGAATTAGGAGTACATATTGTGGAAACCAATCAGTGGCTAAATGTATTGCTAAAACTGAGAATGTACTTATCAAGGGGGCAGAAAGGGCTGATTTTTCATGATTACTAAGTATTATTACCTTGGTTATTGTGGTTGCTAAAATGGTTATTGGGGATGAGCAGAAAGGGGTTTGGGTGGCTGTAGGCATTAAAACTATTCTGGAAAGATTTCATGGAGGAGATGAGTATGAAATAATTTTGGAGGAATGAGAAGTAGCCTTTGGGATACCTTGGGTTAATATTTCTGGCAAATAAGGTGGAATCTAGAAAGATGGACTCTCACTTGTAAGTAGTACCCTAATCTGGTTTGTCGTTCTAAGGTTATTGATATTCTGTGGAGTGATCCCAGAGGCATAAATGGCTGTTACCCAAACACAAGTCGAGGAGGGGGCTGCTATTTTGGGCCAGATGTTACCTCCAAGGTTCTCAGTAAATACCAGCTGAAGATGCTCATTAGGTCTCATGAATGTAAGCCTGAAGGGTATGAAATCTGCCATGATGGGAAGGTAAGCTACAATTGTTGATGACATTCTCCTAGACATCCTTCCCTCAAGCATAATCTTCTCTTCACAGAGTGTGTTTGACCTAGAAGCCCATGGGAAGATGTCTTCCCTAGTACCAAACAGAAACCAGAGACTGTTCACATAGATTGTTTGAAGGGCCACACCCTAAGAGTTATCTGGCTTATTTTCCTGATCTTCCTTAATCTCAGAAACTGAAATCTGACAAGTGGTACTAAGTACACACACGCGCGCACGTGCGCGCGCACACAGAGGCTTCATTCTTTACTAATTGTAAGGAAACTCTTTCATACAGTGGGGTTAAGAGTGTACTTTTCCTCACAGAGCACATAAAAGGCAGCAATGAATCCAGTTTTCTCTCTTTCCCTTTTTGCACATTCCCTGTACAAGGCAGAAAACACAAAATATACTTCCCTTCAGCTCACTGAGTAGGTGATCTCCAGAAAGTTGCTCGCTGTGGTCAGTTTAGCTGCAGTCACGAAAATGGAGTGTGTTGTGCTCCTTCAGTGGTATTTAATACTGAGGAACTGGTTCCTTGTCTCAAGTTGTCCTGGGATGCCCCTTTTCCTATAGTGAACAGCAATAAATAAAAATGAATACCAAATTGTGTGGCATTTCCTTCTATGTTAGCACTTGGCTTTTCTTTATTAATTCATTTTAGGCTCATACTAAGATTGCATACATAATGCAAATGTTGTTTAGGATTTATTTGTAATAAGAAAATAGAAAATAGCACTGGCTTAATCTGAAGTGACGTGCTCATTAGGACAGAACTGGGCCTAAGCCAGGTTCCCTGTCACCAACAAGTATTGTCCTCCCATATTCCACCACAAACTCAAATAGAAGGAACTATTTAGTTCCTTCCCAAGATAGTGGTCTTGGTCCCTTCCACTGTTTCTCTGCCCTCAAAGCACTGGTTTTGTGGGACCCTGAAGCCTCTAAATCATTCAACTCCAAGCAAAAGAAAAAGACTGAGATACTAGACAAGTTTTATGTGAATGCTCAAATATTGCAAAGCAAGAACATAAGGGATTTATCCCCTTGGAAAATTAGAATACACAAAACTAAACTTTAAAGAGGATTCTAAGATCTGTCACTAAAATTGTACACAGGATTGCAGAGCCATACACTGGAGATGTTGGACGAGTGGCTAGGAGTTAAGACTCCTGGGAACACTAAGTAAAAATCCTTGTTTTCCTCCAGTGGAATCACAGGAAATCACGTCAGACTTGGATAATTTCCAGGGATTATGAACTTTGTTTGATTTTTCCTTTTTAAGAATTGAGCTATTTCTGACTTTATTGAATGACCTTCTGAGAACTAATTTTATTTGAACGTGACCCTCTTTTTCTTTAATCAGGTTGTTACTGTATTTTCTGCTTCTAATTATTATGAAGAAGGCAGCAATCGAGGAGCTTACATCAAACTGAGTTCTGGTATGACACCTCGATTTTTCCAGTACCAAGTAACAAAGGCAACATGCATGAGACCTCTTCACCAAAGGTGGGTATACTCTAAGGCAAATACTGAGCACTGGTATCAGAGACTAAGTAGAACTAGTCCCAAGTAACTAAGAGCAGCCACAGGAGTGGCAAGAATCCCCTGTCGGTTACTCAGGGGTATAAACAAAATGGAAATAGTTCCAGACACCAAGTGGTGAACGCACCCATATTTGAAACCAAAAGGAACAAGTTTCAATTCACATACATCTTTTTAGATGGGTAAAGCAGTGAGCACCCACAAATGTAACTGAACGTAAAGAAAAGAAGGTCCCCACACCCACTCAGTTCTCTAACCTATAACCTTCTCTGCCCCACAAACAGCCCCATCTGGTCTTGCCCTTTCTTCCCTATCCAGAATTATATGTGACTAAAATAGTGAGTGTCTCTGTCCATGTGATGGTATCCATACCTTATCTTTTTTCCCTTTAACATTATCTTTTTTAGATTTTTACGTTATAAAACTAATATATCTATTGTCAACAAGTGAAAAAAAATCAAAGAAGTATGAAGAAAATGTTAATGATCTTTTCTCCCCTTACTTCTCAATAATCCTTTTCCTTAGAGGTAACTAAAACGGCCTAAAGTGGCCCCTTTCACTCTCTTCTTGCTCCTACAAAAATAGGCAAGCAATTATTCATTCATTGAATAAAAAAACTTTTGAGTACCTACTATATGTCAGTCACTGTTCTAGGCACAGGTGTTATAGCAATAAACAAAATAGGCAAAAATCCCCTCATCAAACATGTTTCAGTGTGAGGAAAAAGGCAGTAAACAACATACATACATTTTTTTTTTTTACAAAGATAGAATCACACTGCACACACAGTTTTGCAACTGACTTTTTTTCCTAAAGATTAGATTGTGAATGTCACACCAAGTTAGTACATATAGACATAACTCATTCTTTTTGGTAGATGCATAATATTCTATAGTATACATGTACCAGTTATGGAGTGACTAAATCTTCAATTGATGGACATCCAGATTGGTTTGAGAATTTTGCATTCTGAAAAAATGCTATAACAAATGTTCCTATATATAAGGAACTCATATGACTCAATAGCAATAATAATAATAACAAGATTAAAAAATGGGCAAGTGACCTGAATAGACATTTTTCCAAAGACATACAAATAGCCAACAGGTGCATGAAAAGGCACTCAGCATCACTAATCATCAGGGAAATGCAAATCAAAACCACGATGAGGTATCACTTCACGCCAGTGAGGATAGCTGTTATCAAAAAGACAAGAGATAAGTGTTGGCAACGATGTGGAACCCTTGTGCACTGTTGGTAGGAATGGAAATTGATACAGCCATTTTGGAAAACAGTCTGGAAGTTCCTCAAAAAGTTAAAAATAGAGTTAACATATGATCTAGAAATTCTCCTTCTGGGTATATATCCAGCGGAAATGAAATCAATATCTTGAAGAGATATCTGCACTCCCATATTCATTGCAGCATTATTCACAATAGCCAAGGTATGGAAATAATGTGTCTATCAATAGATAAAGAAAACATGGTATATGTATATATAACTATGATTTCACTTATATGTGGAATCTAAAAAAGTCAAACTCATAGAAACAGAGTAGAATGGTGGCTGCCTGAGAGATACCTGGGGGAGATGGGGTGATGTTGGTCAAAGGGTACAAAGTTTCAATTGAGAGATGAGTAAGTTCTGGGGATCTAGTGTACAGCGTGGTGACTATAGTTAATAATACTGTATTATATACCTGAAATTTGCTAAGAGAGTAGATCTTAAGTGTTCTGAGCACACACACAGACACAAATGTACCTAACGGTGAGGTGGTAGATATGTTAACTGACTTGATTGTCGTAATCATTTCACAATATACACGTATGTCAAATCATCCTGTTGTACATCTTAAATATAAACAATTTTATTGGTCAATTATATCTCAAAGCTGGAAAATATTTCCTCTGGGTATATGTGTATATACACCCATACACCATCATACATACATATACAGTCATGCACCACTTAAAGATGTTTCGGTCAGTGATGGACCACATATATGATGTTGGTCCCATAAGATTATTGTGGAGCTGAAAAATTCCTATTGCCTTGTGACATCATAACCATTATAGCATCATAGCACAACATATTACTCACGTGTTTGTGGCCATGCTGGTGTAAACAAACCTACTATGCTGCTCTATTTTTACTGTACTTTTTCTATGTTCAAATATGTTTAGATACATAAATACTTACCATCGTGTTATAATTGCCTACAGTATTAAGTACAGTAACGTGCTGCACAGGTTTATAGCATAGGAGCCATAGGCTGTACTATATAGCCTAGGTGTATAGTAGGCTACACTGTCTAGGTCTAAGTACACTTGTAATGTTCCCACAACAATGAAATCGCCTAACAACACATTTCTCAGGATGTGTCCCTGTCATTGAGCAATGCATGACTGTACCTATGGAGTAGAGGGAAAACTTCCATCTTCTCTGAATGTTCGCTGGAATCAACTGACAGTAGACAGCTTAAAAGGAGAAAAAAAAGCATACAGATTTATTAATGTGCACTTGGACATGGGAGTCCTGCAAATGTGAGACTCAAAGAAGGGCCAGATGGTTGAGGCATGAATTACTCTCTTTATAGGGAAGAGGGAAGTGGGGGGCTGTAGGCACCTTTACAGGGGTAGTAAATGATTTTTAGAGAAATGAATGGACCTGAATGATAAATGATAAATGATAAATGAATGGGTAATGGAGACAATCATTATCCTGTAAATGATTATCTTAGGATAATCATGTTAAGCTTTGTTGATATATAATTTACATACCATAAATGTCCCTTTTTTTTTTTTTTTTTTTTTTTTTTTTTTTTTTT